TATTTATACTCAAACAACAACAAATAATAATAATAATAATGAATTATCGATAGAGTAACACTTATTTTATCGTATTTTTTGTTACATCAGTCAATCTTACTTATCCCACATCATATCCTTTTCTTTCTCTCTCTCTCTCACTCTTTAATCCCTTATTTATTTTAAGTTTATTAACATTGACCCAGAAAAAAAAAAAAAAAAGGTTTTTTTAACTGTCATTCAATTATATCGTTCTTAATACGATTCAATTTTTTTTCGTTTCCGTTTAAATGACAAATCTTTATTTTTCAAATTGTAAAAAGTATAATTAAAACAAACTTTAACTTTTAAAAAACTTTTCTTTTTTTTCGGAAAATCGTTACGACTACTTAAACAAATAAATTTTTTTTTTTTTTGGGGGGGGGGGGAAAAAGAGAAAATTTTTTCAAACGAGGAGCAAGATTTTGCTAACAAATCAAGTAATAAATCAATTGAGATTCGATGACGTATAATAAATGAGAAAACTAACGTTAATAATAATAAAAAAAATTTTTTCGATGGGAAAACCTATTATTAACAATGTATAAAATTTCCTTGATGAAATGCGCGTGTGTGTGTGTGTGTGTGCGTGCGCGTGAGGCTAAGTAATAATTCATGGATTTTCTAATGAAAAGATTCAAATGGGTCTTTAAAATTGGGTTTTATTTTATTTTTTAAATAATTTTTATCGATGTAAAAAAAAAAAAATTATGTTTAGTAGTGGGTGGGGGGAGCGAGTGGGGTAGGAGGGGAAAAAGGCGTTTAAAAAAATTTTTTTGGAAACTACGCCCATTTTCGTATGGCTAAAAAATTATTCTGGAAACTGCCCAAAAAGTTTCATAGCATCTGGAAAGAGTGAGAGTGAGAGAGAGAGATGGATGATCGTTAATCACTTTCAAAATTATCCTCCCTTTGGGGTTTTCACGGGGGGTAGGGGTAGAGAGATAAGGGGTAGGGGGGTTAGGACGAGTTTTCCTCCGGTTTTCTCCGACTCTCTTCCTGTCTTTCAGATTTCTGTTTTTCTCTTTTTATTATTACGATTTAGTGCTTGTTTGATACTAAACGTCAAATTGAACAAAACACTTTAAATTCGTTAATTTATTTATTATCATGAACACATTTTAGTTTTAACTGAATTTTAAATATTTGTTGTCCTTTTTTCCCCGAAAAGAATTTTATCTTATCACTGAGTTGTTGTAATTTTTCTTTTTTTTGTTTTTACACGACGATTACATAAAGAAAAAAACCAAAATGGCGGTTTCGAAAAAAAATTATATATATATATTTTAAAATGATTTAAAGGGGGGAGGT